TTGCTAGGTTTTTTAAAGTTTTATTTTGCAAACGGAATCTCTAGTCCAAACTATCTGTCCCCTGTGGGAAATTAAGTAATCTTCAGTGTTTTGTCGGCTCCTAGTTAAAATCACAAGTCTGGGCTCTACCAAAAAGTGTGTGTAGATGGGATTCTGGCAGCTGTGGAGCAGGCTCAGGGTTGCACTTCCTCTACAGCACCAGACCACCCAAGCACGTGGATAGGAGCCAGCCCCTGGCCTTGGCCCTCCCCAATGTCTCCAGGTCCTTGTGTGGTTTGGGTTTCCCGGTTAAGAAACCCTGGAGTAGAAGCTCTGCCCTTTGGAGACTTAAGACATGTTAAAAAAAAAAAACAAAAAGAAAAACAAAAACCGTTGAGGCAAATTTGATCTTAGATATTGCCATTACAGGGAGTATAGCTCAGTAGTAGAGCATTTGACTGCAGATATTGCCGTTACAGATTTTAAATAATGGTTTTAACTCATTCCTGAGTTAACAGTAATGATTAGGTGTGTCTTTTAGGTTTGGTGGAGTTCCTTTGCCTACCCCCATCCTTTCAAATATCCAAGAAGTCTTGTCCTGGCTTTGCAAGTGTGGAAGTAGACAGACACATGTCTCTTAGGACTGTAGGATAAGTGCACTTTTAGTTCACAGGGTTTGGCTCTAAGTATCTCAAACGATATCTCTTTTTCCTTCCAGTTTTGGTTAATCACTGCCACACGACTGGACTAAGCTCTTGTTTTTGCAAAGCCTCGGGATTTTTTTTCAGAAGCATTCATGCCCTGCTGCCTTTTCTCTGTGGTTAAATATTCAAAGTGTTTCAAAACTCCAGACCATTGCTGGAGACTGGTCGGCTCATTTAGGAAAGCCTTTTCTATGGGGATGGCCGCATATTTTTAGACTTGAATTTCACGGGCCCGCTCCCCACGACAGAGGCTCTGGAGTCAGAACCCGTTCCAGAACACTTGGGAGCATTCTCTCCACATTCCTTCGACAGGGTTCTCTGCAAGGGCGAGGGCACTGGTAGGATGCGGGTCTGAGGGCCCAGAGGGGCTGGCGCGGTCTTTCTCCCACCGGCCCGCTCGCCCGCGGCGCCCCCACCGGCCCCCGCCGCGTTTCCCACAATCCCCGGCGGCGCCGCCGCTCCCGTGCCCCGGCGAGCGAGCCCGGCGGCTCCATCGAGGCCTGGGTGGCCCTTCGGCCGCTGTCGGGGAAAGTCTCGAATGCCCCCAGTCGCTCGCAAGCGCCGGGGTTCGGCCATTTCCGGCCCGGCGCACTTCGGCAAGTTCCGCAGTGGCTTGTCGGAAATGGCTGCCCGCCGGCAGGGGGAGCGGAGGATCGTGCGCGGCCTGGAAGGCAGTCTGCGGGCGGCGAGAGCGGCTTTGGGGAACCTGAGTTTTGCACAGGCAGCGGCGGCTCGTCCCTGAACTGGAAGCCGGTAGGACGCCTGGCGGCGGCAGCGGGAGCCCCAAGCAGTCGGGGGTGGCTTGCGGTACAGGTCTCAGGGCTGGTCCCGAGCGCAGGGCACTAGGCGGGCGGGACCGGCTCCGGCCGTGCTGGGGCCGCCGGAGCTCGCAGGGAAGCGGCTGCCCAGCGCGGCGGGGGCGTGCAGCCTCAGAGTAGGCCTAACTAGACATCTCGGGGGACTGGGGTGGGGACCTCTAGGGCCTTAGCCACCAACGAGGAGGATTAATGGGTCAACATGGGGCTTTAAACACGACCTTCCTACACGCACAAGGTCCCTACAGCCTCGGTTTGGCTTGCCTCGCACCCACTTTCTTCTCTTTTTCTGAAAGATCAGCTTCAGCTGTGCAGCCTTTTCTGCGACTTTAAGCCCCTCCACTCTTTCTTTGCTCCTTGTATTTGTCTACCTGCTTGTGTAGCGCATCTGCTGTTGACGAAGGGGCTTCCCCACCCGCCCCCCTCCAGTTTTCCCCGTGCATACACTCCCACATCTGCTTTCTGCTGCATTCGGACACAGTCGCCTGCAGCTGCTCTTCCCCTGGCTCTTTTCACCAAGCTCACCTCCTTTCATGATGAGCCCACAGTCAGAATAGCCACTTCGTGCCCAAGGGTCCAGGTGCTGCTGTTCTGGTGCCCAGGCCTAGGCTCTGTAGCGATGGGCCTAGCGCTGCTTGAGCAGGAGACGGGCTGCAGAGTGCAGGTCTATACTGCTGAAATTTTAGCGGACCTGACCCGACCCGACCCGCGCTGCGGGGCATAGATAGTATGAATCCAGAGGGGTGCCGGACTGCAGCTTGGGTGTTAATCTCTTCACATTGAGCCTGTGGTTCTGTTTCTTTCTTTCTTTTTCTTTTCTTTCTTTCTTTTTTTTTTAATCTGTGGCTCTTAAAGGACTTGAATTTGGTGGGTTTCTGCTCCTAACCTGGACTTTCTTCTCCTTTTCAAAAATTCAAGTTCTCTTGATTGGATTCTTGAGGAGGAGGAGGAAGAAACACAGAACAGCACATGTTCATTTTTTTTTTTTTTTCCATATATGATTTACTTAAGAGGCATCTTTAGCATTTTTTCTCACTTTGTCCTATTCTTCCTCCAGTTTAGGTAGCTTCACTTTCGAAGCCTGGGCTCTCCATGTGTTCCTTTGTTTTTAAAAAGTCTTTGTGTGTTACAGTCATGCAGACTGCGTTTTTCCCTGTTTTGCTTAACTATTGGTCTTGCACTGTGGGACAGTTATTAAAACTGTATCAGAGTGCCTGGGATTGTAACCTGGGATAGTGGGGTCTTGATAGTCTGGAGTGAAGCTAAGCCTTCTCAACAACTTATTTAGCAAGGGACTTTTAAAAATTTCATGATAAAAGGCATCTTCTTTAACTCTTATTTGGTGTGTTAAAAATACCTTATCCTGTGGGGAGCCTGAGGAATCTAAATACTCATAACTATGTGGGAAACTAGCTTAAATGCTTCCTGGAAGCGAATTAGAACCATAGATCTTCAGAATACTTGAAACATTAATTAATATGTGAAGATATGGTTGATGTTCTCAGGGGCCATACCTACTAATCAAAAGATTGACAGGAATGTATGTTCATTCCCCCATGTCTCACTTTTCTGGAAGGGTGGGGAACTGGTATTAAATATTTGGTGTATAGTTGGAATCTCTTAATGATCAAGGCCTCGGAGTTTTAAGCTATGAAGGGAAAGACTACATGAACAGCCTGGAGAGAAATGAGTCAGAGGTTAGGTTAACCCTGAGAAATGGAGCTCTAAGAGAGTGAGGAAGGTTCAAAGTTTGAAGCCATCAGAAGAATGTATGGGGATTAGATAAGGACATGCCTTTTCTCTTGGGACACTAGGCTGACTTTCGAGTGAAAAGTCATTGAAGGGGGTGATACAGGAGTGAGGCGGTGGCAGTGGTGTGTGTGTGTGGGGTCCCTATCTGAGGTGAGACTGGTAAGTAGTCCTATGGTGGAGGGTTGGAAATATTGCCTGAAGTAGAAGTGGAATCATATAGGAGAAAAATGAAGATCCCTCCAAATCTGCCATTGGCAGAGATTTGAGTGTCTCTGTGTAATAGTTATTTCAGAGGGAGGCAAGGAATATGAATCTTTCATAAAGTCCTAAAACTACTAATTTCTGCTGAATAAGTTTAGTTCAGAAAACTTCTGTTAACATTTATTTCTATTTTATTTTTGTTTTCTTAATTTTTTGCTATCTTTTAAAAACCTATAATGATAGAGTAAGGAAAGAAAGGATTTTTCACATATTCGTAGGTTCCATGAAAATAGTGGAGTCAGGCAGAGTGAGTTTGAGAACTCAGGAGGAACAGAGGTAGGCTCACCTATAAGTGTGACCTTTCCTGTCTAAACCAGTTCCACACTCCTTGTATACTTGGAATTTTTCAGATCTCTTTGGCGATGTTACTAGGTGGAAAAGAAGAAGGATTAAAATATTTGTAATCTTGAGTATTTAAGATAAATATGGAAACTCCATTTTGTGACATATTTACCTTCCCTTCACTTAGGGCATAATGTTTAGTGTAGGATTTTGCTCACATATACCAAAACGACCTATTAAAACGACCTATCCCAGAGATGGAGCCATAGGAAAATGAACTATGTCTCAGCATTCAGCCACCTCTTTGGTTTATAACTTGAGAGTGTTTTTTTTTAATTAATTAATTTTTGTGGTGACATTTGTTAATGAAATTCAATGTTTCAGCTGTACATTTTAACAGTAAGGCATATATATATATTTACACTGTATTCACCTCCCATAGTTAGATTTCTTTCTATCACCATATATTTGACCCCTTTTACCCCATCTACTTGCCCCCTGAGAATATTTTTACAGAAAAGGAGGTAAACGTTTTCTGTAAAGGGCCAAATAGTAACTATTTTAAGCTTAGCAACTATTCAGCTCCACTGTTGGAGAGTGAAAGCGGCATAATCCATCCATACATACAATCCATAAATGAATGAGCAAGGCTGTGTTCCAGCGTAATTTTATTTACAAAACAGTCAGCTGGCTATAGTTTGCCTATGCCTGTATCACCTTCTCACACACATATCATTACTTTTATTTATTCCTCCATTTGACTGTGCCCAATACCTTTTACACTGGTCAATGACATTAATGATTAATATCCTGGATGTTTGCTTTGGTGACTGTTTTCTTTGTTTTCTTATCTTCTTATATTGTCATTTTAATCCATTTCTCCAACTTTCTTTTAAACATTTTTTTTTTCCCAGCAAAATTTAATACTTTGAGGGAGGTATAAAAAAATGAATTAGGTTGGGAATATGCCTTTAGCCTGTATAATAAGAGAGATAAAGACATACATGAATACATTATGATGGTAGGTTACAATGTTTTAAATTACATTTAAATTATAGTTCTTTTCTATCATCATATAGTTCTTACATATATTTTGTTTTGTGACATTGATCTTTACACTAACTCTGAGAGATAGGCTAAATGTGACAATATGGGAAAGAGAGTAGGAAAGAAAACTGAGACTTGTGGGGCTTGGCTATTTGACCAAGGCTAAATGTAGTAAGAATTCTTGAGCTGGCCATTAATATTTACTGTCTTGTTCCTCCATTTGAATACTTACAATGACACAGATCTCCCTGGACAGCCCATTCTGATTTCTAGGCTAGTTTTTAGGAGGCTTTTCCTTATTGAGCTGCAGTTTGCCTCTTTCTGATTGTCTCCTTGTAGGGCCATAGAGAACAAGTCTACTCCTATTCTCTCTGACAGTTCTTCAGATACTGGAAGTCAGTCATCATGTTTCTCCCAAACGCAAATTACAAACTATTGTGCATAGATCAGATAAGGCTTGTGTATATATTATTTGGCTGCTCAACTTACACAAAAACTGAAATTGGAAGCCAACTTTTAGAAATGGGGACATGTCACATAAAAATCTGTATTTCTGGCTTTTCTTGAGAAAAAATTAGAGAATTTGGTGATACAGAGCTCACATTTCTGATGGCAGCAATCTCCCCAAGTACATACAAGTACTCTCCGTTTTGCTCAAGTCTCTGCCTGCTGGCTTTAGTCCTCTTACTCATTTACTTCACTTTGAGGGCCTTTATAGTCATTGAGATTGCCATTTTTTTTTCTAGGCCTTCTGTTCCACAGGCTAAATAGTCCCATTTCCTTCAGCTGTTTCTAATTTGGCAGTTTCAAATACTTTCACCAATTCTTAGTCCTCTGCCCTCCTTTTACTTTGTTAATGCTCCTCTTAAAGTATGGCACTCAGCATAGCATATACTATCCAATATACAGTGTCACATAAAAGAGTGAGGTGAAACAAAAGGAATCTTGGGAATAGTCTTGTTTCCTTGAGTTGATATGTTGGTAATATATTTCTCTCCAGTAAAACAAATCTACATGTGCTTTCTGTATGCAAGGCAGTTATAAGTCAGTGGGGTCCTAGAATCTAAAAGGATCTTTTAGGTTGTCTAGTCCAACTCTTTAATTTATGAGTTAAAAAAGGATAAGGAGCATGTGAGTCAAGAAGGACAAGGAATTATGAAGTTAGGAGATCTGATGAATCATAAAGATGTTATAATGATAAAGGAATGGCAAAACTGGAGTCTCAAGTTTATTCACCTGTGAAGGTTGAAGTAGGATGCTTGAGTCATAAAACTGATTTGTGTATGGCTTAGCAAACTTTTACTTCATTTTCTGTCTCCTTTAGGGTGACTTGGACACTAATGATGTCAAGTGCATGCCTCCATAGCATAAAATAAAAATCATGTTTTCTCGAGAAATGGGAACCTTAGAGAAATTAGTTTACATTCTAAGCACTTGCACATCCAGTTGACTGTTCTGGGCAGATACTTTAGTACAGTCCATTTGAAGACCTTATTTTAAGTTGAATATATATTTTTCCACTTAATAATATTGTGAACATTTCCTCATTTTATTTAAAATGATTGAAATTGATTTAAAATGATTGAAAATGATTTAAAATGATATTGACAGCATGATGACCATATTAATGACATGGATTTGTGATACTTTATATTTAACTTTGCTTCTAATTTTGGATATTTATAATTTTTTTGGCTATTATAAAGAATGCTGTAGTGATTACATCTTTCTGATACAAATCTTTGTTCACAGAAAATACATTTCTAGAAAGTGAAATTGCCGAGTTGAAGATATGAACATTTTAGAGACTCTTGTTACAAGTAGCAAATTACTTTTCTATCTTCCTTCTGATACAGTCGGTGTAAGATACCTGCCACACTGCAGCTGTCAGCACAGTACAGAGATGTTCTGTGTATTAAGTGGTATACTTTGTAATGTTTTACTGTGAATATTCTTGAAGCCAAATTTTGTTTCTCATTTGTGATTCTTTCTTAAGAATAGTTTCTGGAAATGGGATTATAGGGTCAAAAAGTAGGCACTGTTTCAGGGCTTTTATTACTTACTCTATCAAATTGTGCTCCAGAAAGGTGTGCCAGTTTTCACTCCTAGCAGCAGAGTGTGGGAATGTTACCCTTGATCCTGGTTAGCACCAGATATAATAATTTTACAATTCTTTGCTGATATATAGATGGAAGATGTCACTGTATCTTGTTTTATATGTACATTGATTGCTAGGATTAAACATTTTAAAATGTTTGTCTTTTGGACTTCTTTTTAATTTCCTATTTATTTTCTTTAACCACTGTTGTGTTTTCTTTACTTCTATTAAGGTAATGTCATGTTGCCCATGCTTCTCCCAGTCTTTTTATTGAATTGAAACTCTTTTTCCTTATAAATATATAGAAGCCTTTGATCTTTATGTAGTCAAATCTATTGAACTTTTATGGATTCTGCTTTTGCTTGGATTCCTATAAAAGTAGGAAGTTCTTATCTTGAGATGAAATTACTTGTATGTTTTCCTTTTGTTATAGTTACCTCTTGAATCCATCTGGGACTTAGTTTTGGATTTGGGTTGTCATGAATGAATCCGACTCTCTCCTCCCCTCCATGAGCTAATTGTTGCTTATTTATTAAAAAATTTAGTGTGCTGTACTTTATTTTTTTCTCTTTTTTTTTTTTTTCCTCCACGTACTTTAACACTTATGGTAAAGTAATAAGAGTGGTAAAAGGAATTTCCACATACTCTTTACTTACATTTCCCAGGTTTAACATTTTGTCATATTTGCTTTCTCTTTCTCCCTCCATTCTTCTCCTTCTTGTCAACTCTTGGTTGTTGGTGCTAGTTCAATGCCAACAGGAATCCCCAATTTGGGGTGTGGTTAAGAAGGAAACTTTATTCAGTGCAAACAGCTCAGTTATGAAGTAGCACAGCTTTCAGAACACCATGACCGTGAAACAGCTTAATATGGTTACAGCTTACTTATGAAGCAGTACAGCTGCAAGGTTACTGGGGCCAGGAGACTCTGCGGTCAGGAGGCCCTGAGGCCAGACCCTACTCTGGCTAGACAACTCTGCCTTGCTATGCTACACCCGGTTCTTCTCCACTCTGATCCTGAGATCATCTTTGGTATTTCAGCTCCAGCCAGGGAAACAGTCTTGGATGGAAAGGGAAAGTATACTCTGATTTGGAGGGGAACTGACTTAAAAAAACATAAGGCCCTGCTCTTGGTCCCTGATGGTCTATCTTCATGCAAATACGGACTCCAAATCCTCAATTTGATTGGTCCAAAAGACACTTTTCTGATTGGTCAGTGAAGATGCTGATGGGAGATATGGTAGTTCCAATTGGATGGGGAAAGCCTCAGTCCTATTGGTTGAAATACAATTCCAGGAACTCCTTTATAAGGGCTGGCTCAGATAGCAGGCAGTTCAGTGCAGGTGTCTTCTTGAAGTGGGCTTTGTGTGAGAGGTCCTTATTTAGGAATGGCTGCTAGGCTCTGTTTTTAAATTTGAGCCCAGTTAACCATCAATATCTTTTTCAGAGGCCACAATATATAATATTTATACCCTGTTTTTCATCAACATTTTATCAGTGAATCTTAGCATCCATTGCTGAATCTTTCCTGAAACAATTATTAATATGCTGGCCACTAAATGACAGTTTTAAAAAATCTCCATCATGCTGCCTTTCCTGTACGTTTACTAGGTGGACTTATCCAAATGAATAATTTTTCCTTCTCTCTCTTTATGTAATCAATCATTTAAGTATGAATACATGGTTTCTCATTTATTGGGAGATAATTTAGGTAATCAAAGTGTCCCAGATTTATCCAGTGGGATCCAGTATTTTTTTAAATACTCTAATTTTCTTTGAATACATCTTTACTTTCTGGCAAAAGAAGATTTTCCAGGCTCATGTTTACTTTACTTTTCCAGTACTGAAATTAGCTCCTTTTTCAAGGAGCCTCTTAGATCCTGTATTCACACTGTTACCTTCAATTCCAGTGGAACACCACAGGTATTATTTTAGTCTTCTCCCATTTCTATATTTGTAAGACATTACTTTAGCAATGAGAAAGCTAGTTTGATCTTCTATCCGGACCGCTAAAAGTTTCTCCATATCAGCAGTAAGGTTGTTATGCTTTTTTATTATTCATATGTTCACTCAAGTATAATGTACTGTATTTTAAAGTGACTGCAAGATATTTTTCTTAATTACAAAAGCAATATGTACTTATTGTAAAATGAATGAAGACAAAATGAGTCTTAAGTAAAAAAATAGTAAACACATGAGTAGCATGGTACAGGTCAGACAAACCTGGATTTGTATATGGGCACCTCAGCTTGCTTGCTACATGTCTGGCCTTGAATGAGTTTTACCTAGCCTCAGTGATTCACACTTTATCTGTAGGTGAAATAACAATACCTACCCACAGATGGTTGATGTGAGGACTAAACGAGATAACGTATGTAAAGTACATTGTAAATATAAATAGTTAGAACAAGTGCAAAGTCCCCTCTACCCCCTCCCCCCAATTTTCCAAAGGAGTATGATGTAGTCTTGTAGACTTCCTATATGAATATGGTGTATTGCTGTTTGTCTTCCTTAGTTGTCTGTAATTACATTGATTCAGATGTCATCAGTCTGAATAGGGATCGACATCGTTTCTTTGTTAGACCAATGGTTTTATGTTAGAGTTGTGTGCTCTGTGTTAAAATCACCTGGGAGCTTTGTCAAACTATAGGCGCTTGGGCCCCACCCTTGGAAATTATTCCGTTAATGTTAGGAGAGTCTGGGTTTATTGTTTGAAAAAATTCTTAGGTGAGTTGTGAATCTGAATTGTAACCCTCATTAAAAACTGACAGGTGAGACAATTCAATTTCGATTTGTGAGATGCTATCAAACTGGTGGGAAGGGAAACACATATAGGAAGTGGCATAATTTTCAAATTGAGGACCTCCTGGGAGGTGAGACTTCCAAGTTCAGGTTTATTACTGACTAAACAGGTGACTTGGGTTAATTAATAGTCTTAGCTTACTTGTTAATACCTATATACAACTGAGCAGTGGAAGGAATGCTTATAATTTATTGATGAGTTCCTTTTTTGTATTTTGAGATTTGTCAGCTAGTGGCATTTGTGGAATATCTTTGGACTTAGAAATCTGTTTTTGAGCCTAAGGAATATTTTTTTCCCCCTTCTAAAAGCCTTGTAATAAAGGTGGCTTAACTCTGTCGTTCTCTGATTGTATCATAATCTTTACTCTCAACTCAAGAGGTCAGCACACAACCAATTTTCCTCTCCTGATTTTGGTTTTTAATTGCTGACAATTTTTTTGTAGGCATACCTTGTTTTATTGTGCTTTGCTTTATTGCATTTCACAGATGTGTTTTTTTACAATTTGAAGGCAAGACCCTCAACCAGCAAAAAAATTAAACTGGCTTTATTGCGGTGGTCTGGAACTGAATCCGCAGTGTCTCTGAGGTATGTCTGTATTTCCTTTATTTTACAACTAGGTTAAGTTTATCCAGTAAATAAACTACTGTGGCGGTTGTATTGTGAAAAACACATTGCTTTCATCTCCTTGTGAATTGCCTAAATGCAGTTTTTACATCATTCTTTATCCACAGTTAGCTTCCCCAGAAAGTGCCTTTACTTATTTTGAATTATACAATAGAGAAATCAGAGTCTTAACAATGGCAAAAACATTGGGAAAATTTTTTAGTGCTTTCTGATTTTCGAACTAGGTACTACCTTGCCATAACAGGCTGTTGTCGGCATATGCTTAGTAGATTAGGAAATGATGTTCTTTTGGGATGTTTACATTTAAAAAACCAAATCAAACCTCTGAAATACTGTTTTCAGCAAGCATATGGAAATGATTTCCTCTATGGTAGTGGTCCCCAGCCTTTTGGGCACCAGGCACTGGTGCTCCCATGAGAATCTAATACCTGATAATCTGAAGTACAGCTGAGGCGGTGATGCTAGCACTGGGGAGTGGCTGCAAATAAGATGAAGCTTCCCTGGCTCGCCCGCCACTCACCTCCTGTGCGGCCTGGTTCCTAATAGGCCACGGACTGGTGCCCAGGGGTTGAGGACATCTTCTCTACAGAGCTATCTTTACTGAACTCGAAGGGCTTGTGGTAATGGCAGTAACAGCAACAATGTACATACACTTCTGTAGGACCTACACCGGGGTTGTAATAGGATTGTGCCTGTTCAGTGGGTCAATATTGACTTAAATGAAGAAGAGAAAATAGTACTTAATGCACAGATACACAGGTCATGGGTACACCTATTTATGCATTGGTTGATTTTGCTCTGAGTATTTTGTTCTCTTGTTTTGTTTAGCAGATGTTAATGTAAGAAATTTCCAAACCTGTAGAGAATTTTGGAGTTTATTTGAGCCAAACTAACAATTCTTAGGAAACAAAATCTCAGTGGATTGAGGAAATGCTCCAGAGAATGACAGTTTTGTGGCTTATTTTATACATTAGAATCAAAGGAGGACCTGTAAGGAGGGTTCCATTGGTGGTAGATTAAGAGGGAAAAAGCAAAGTAGGGAAATCTCTGGGACTGGATAAAAAACAAAATGGAGAGACATATACTTCTTTTACATTGGTGAGTACAGGATTAACATTTACTGCTCGTAGCGATGGTATGTGGGGAACGAGATAATGAAGAGCTCAGGGTCTCGTGCTCTTGTGCAGTGGGTGTGCCCTGAGGGGTCTGGGAAAGAAGATTACTCAGACATTTCTAAGGTATACTATTTTAGATGCAGAAAGACATTAGATAGGCTCACTTAGGGTAAAGATCGACCTTTGTCAAGGTAGCTGCAGGGCAGGATGTGACTACCCACCATGACCTGCTTTTAGTTAGGAATTTTTATGTTCAGACCATCCTGTGTGGTTATTTTTTGTCTTTGGGATTGTGGGGCCCGCCATACTGGCTTGCCCTGATCTTGTCAGCTTTAGTATGTGGCCCCTTTTTCATCCACACGTAAATACTTTAATTATGAAAATAGAGGTGCCTTTAGGTTCTGGAGTACTATTACCATGTGTTTTAATTATAATTAATCATTGTTCATAGTTATAATGGAGCAGTAGTAATATGGATAATCGAAATGTAATTTATGCACGATGTGTGCACACTGTGTTTCTTGAGTTAATATCACAGGCAATTTACCATAATGATTAAGACACTGAAAGTGTGGGCCTTAGAGCTCGAGTTGCTTTGATTTGAATCCAAGTTTTATTCAGTATGAATGACCTTGGGCAAATTACCTAAGCTCTGTGCTTTCATTTCTCATGTACAAAATGGGAGTGGTACCTACGTCATAGGATTGTTGTGAAGATTAACTATGTTAAGGTGTATAATATGCTTAACCTGGCACACAGTAAAAATTCAGTGTTAGCTATTATAATTATGTAAAATGTTAAAGTCAGTTGGTTTCATTTGGGAACATCTGGAAAGTGTCCAGCTTCTCTCTCTCTTGCCCCATTCTCCCTTCATACCTTTCCAATGTATGATGGAAACCAGCATTTCCCTTACTTCTTCTGCTTTCTTTCTTTCTTCTATGGAGTGTTTTACTTCAGTTTAGTTTTGTTTTTGTATGAAGAAAAGTATACAAATTTATTGAAAGGCATTAGAGAAGGCCTAAATAAACAGAGATAACTCAAATCCATGATAGGAAGTTTCAATATCAGAGCATTTTAGTTTTAAGAGAAGAAAAGTCAGCCCGATGGTTGTTATATCAGAAAACTCTTGAAAGCAAGGTCTTGATCACAGGTAATGTTTTTGTGATAAAGAGTTTGCCATTGTGATAAGGAGTGTTGGAAGGCTCTATTAAGAGGAGGAGATAAGAGAGGACATTGGTATGTCGAGGTGTAGTGGTGAGATGATGGAGAGTATGAGCATATGCAGAATTCTGAATGAGAACTCTACCCCAACTAACTTCTCACCTCACCACTTGGACTTTTGAATTATTTACCGTTTTAGCTTTCCAGGAGCACAGCTTGCTTCAAGCCCGTAAGTGAGTGGTTAGTACATCAAGAATTCTACTTTCCATATGGATAATC